TTGAAATTTTGGGTTGGGTTGGTTGTATATGGAAATGGAGAGACTCGAATTCAATAGCCAACCCAATGCAACCAAACCCAAAATTTTTGGTTTGGGTTGTTGGGTTGCATTAATTTTTTTTTAAATAAACTTGAACTGGAAAAATAACAGAATTACTGAAATCTTAATGGATTGGGCGATGACCTGCTTCACCGTTGACTGACGGATGTGCTCCATGGTAGTGAGGGACCTACTGCTAGGGCTAGCAACAATGGGATATGCTTTATGGTAGCTAGGGACCTGCTACTACAGGTAGATCTACTTCACCCACGACGAGGGACTTGCAGCTATGGACCGACAGTGAGCTCATGGCAGAGATTAAAGAAGAAGAGGGAGGAGAAAATGGAAGATTGAGAGGGAATAAAATAGAGAATAGACGTGAGTGAGAGATTCAAAATAGAAGGAGAATATCAAACCCTAACATTAATATTAAAATAAAAGGTTATGATTAAAACAAAATGGAAGGTTGAGATTGAAAGTAGATATATTATTATATTTATATTTATAATATATATAATTCAGGTCGGATTGGGTCTATCCGATTTTTTTTAAGTGAACCCGCAACCCGACCAATCCCTACAATTCGAAAAAATTGCAACCCAACTTGAACCAATACTTTATATAACACAACCCTAGGGTAATTGTCAAATTTTTTTTAACACCTTTAGATATTATGCCCTCTTTCAAAATTACATTTGATTAATGTATCAAATTTATCCTGAATTTTTCGAAAAATATTTTTAATAGTGTGAAATTAATTTTCACTATTTAAAAAAGTTGTAAAAGATTAACTATAAAGTTTCATAATTTTTCTTTCAACCATCAACTTCAAAGAGGGTTCACCTTTTGTTTTCTCACAAAAATGTATAGTTGAACCATCTCTTTAACGAGATTGGATGTGGAAAACAACAATGAGGAAGATGAAGAGGAGAATGAAATAGTAACAACAGAGTTGGATGAGTAAATTAGATACGTAATTTTTTATATTAAATTATAAGTTCGGTCCCTAAACTTTGAAAGCTGCGTCTAATTTGCCAGTTTTTCGGTATGTATTATTTGAAGTTTTAATTTTTTTTAATAGATTTTAAATTCTTACTTTTTTTTTTATTTAATTGTTCATACACTTCTAATTTGGTGTTTAATAAAATGACTGAATTTTTAAAAAATATCTAATAGACTAGATATTTATTAAACAAAAATTGAAAAGTTGATGAATCTATTAAAAAATAAACTTAAAAAGACTAGTTAATTTTTTTTTAATTTCAATAACCTATTATACACCACTCTCAAAATTCAAAATCAAATTTATAATTTAACACGGTAAAAAATAAATATTGTGGCGTACATGTWATTAATGTTTTTGTACAATTGGCCATTAATGAAGTTGTTAGAAATATTTGTATTTGTGCTTCCCTTAATTAGTCATAGATTCAAATTCTCTTTTTTTTTTCACTAAAAAAGGTTGATCCATATTTTCATATCTTTGTGCTCGTGTTATATTAATAAAAATTTAAAAATTCGAGATCGACAATAACAAAGAAATAACATGCAATTAGAAATTAGATTATAAGTAAATTCAAACATAATTACATTTATTGTACAAATCACGTATCACTATCTTTAAAAATGAAATATTTGATCTACCCCGTAATTATTGAACTAAAAAAATAGATTGATAAAATAYGAGATAAATTTAATTTTTTTTTCTTTCAAATGAGTCCTGGTGTTTTTTTAAAACTAAATAAATCACTAACCCAAATTAATTACATGCAAACAATATTACGGCAAAATATTTTTTACATTCCCAAAAGGGCTCGACAAAAGAAATTATGGTATTTATTACTTATTTGTATATTTATTTTTGTCTTATTAGTTACATGCACTGCATTATTCAATAAATATATGTTGCATATTTTAGTCAAATTATCTGGTTCGTGCATGAACGATATTAATTTATTTAATACATCTTACCAAATTTCTGGTATTAATGTTTTGGGTAATCCAATTTATTTCAAAAAAAAAAAATTTGGCGCTTTTGGTTAATCAAAGCGTTCGCATAAAGAAAAAGTTTTAATTCTATACTTATTTCTTATTGGTCACATCTAATTATTTGACCTAAAAACATGTTTTAATTTAATTATTTTTGAGAGAGATGTAAATTCATTTTACTAGATTAAAAGGATACGTACAAATTATAATTATTTAAATTAAGAAAAAAACATGCATAGTGATATAATCATGTTGATAACATATCAAGAGGCTAAAATTACACGATTCTTATTAGCTTTGACATTTGAAGATTTGAGTATGATAATACGTCGCAAATTTTTTTTATATGATTAATACTCGTCGATTTCATATTAAATAGTCTATGCACCCATCCTTCTACTATTTTTATGCTTGCATAAAAGGAAATTTTTGCAAATAATATAATATGGAAAATAAGAGTTGGTGTGTAGAATGAAGGGGAAGTAGGCAATATTCCTTATCTAGATTGAGAATTAGATTTTCCGTTCAATGGTATTAATTATTTCTTAGTATACATCTAAGAATTCTACTTTAAATTATGAACACATCTATCAAATCTCAAACTAGAAGATAAATATATAAGTTGTAAAAGACGTATTTTCTTTAAAATCTGTTAATAAAACAACTGAATTCGATAATGGAAACTGTATATAGTAAAAAGAAGTAATATATCAAGGATACTGTTGGTATATCAACATCCATATCAAGTATATATTGGTATATCAATACTTATAATCAGATATATTTGCTTTCTTTCGCATGGGTTGAACCCGATTTTGTTTATAAAATTGAAAAGTGGTTATTATTTTATTTTATTTTTTGTAACTTTTGTTAGGTCCCAAAAGATAAGCTAAATAAACAAATTAATTGAAGATATTACCTCTATGAAATATATAAAAGCTCACATTTTCTGTATGTGTATTTTCAATTATCTCTATACATCGAAACTACTCTTTTCCAACAAAGACATAAGAAAAAAAATAAAATAAAGGTAAGATATATTTATTTCATGTGCCAATTTGACGAAATAGCATCCTTGAATTATTTATATCTTAATAGTTTGATCAAGAAAATATCGTAAAAATAGAATTACCCGATGACGATATTAATAGATTTAATAAAGATGAAAGAAGTAATTTAATTCTAATTAATATTCTCAGGATGCTTAATACATTATTATTCTTGGTAACTAATATTCTAATTAATGTGAGTTAGTTCTAATAACTATCTTGATAAGGATGGGAAGGCAAAGAAATCGAATGAAGTCTCTTATTCTTGGAGAGTGGAAATTACTTTAATGAATGAGATTCTCCCTCCTTTGTTCTCATGTCCATTCTAAAAGCCCAAAAAAAAAAAGTTAGAATAAAAAAACAAAATTTATTTACGATGGTAATTCTAAATTATTAATATAAGATTTGAATTCGAACTCTGCGTCGAACACCTCACCACATTCCGATGATTACAAATGATTTAGTTGAGAGTAGTAAAAATAATGGTCGGATGTCCAATTTCGACATATTTGATTTGAACCAAATTATGTAATTTTACTCCAAACAATTTTGAAATGAAAGAGAGGGACTAATAAACGGATATGATATGATATAATTTAGTGTAAATGAAGATTAGAGAATAGAAAGAGAATATATTTAGAGAGAGAGAGAGAGAGAGAGGAGAAAGGTAAAGAAAAGCTGATTCGGATATAGGATGCGTTAAGTTTACGCTCTCTCAGTGATGGGTTCTATCTTGACAGTTGTTATCCGAAGAACCCTTGCCACGTCACTGCCACGATAATAAAATGAAAATGAAAAATAATAATAAAATTAAAAGAGTGAGAAAATTAGGAACAACGGCGGAGGAGAGCGAGAGAAGGCTTCCAATTTAAGGAAAGAGAAGGTCAGGTAACAGTTAACATCATTAAAAATGGTTGTTCCGAAACGCTGTCGTTTCGTGGCTTGTCTTGTCCGGATCATCTCCCCCAATCTCATCTCCATGGCCGTTGGAAAAAGCATCCCTCTTTTTCTCGTTCATTTTCTTAAATTTTCTCCATTTTAATTTATTTCTTTTTAATTTTGCATCTGCCCCCCTGGCCCCTGCTTTCCTAAATTACGTCATTGCCACTCCAAGAAAAAACTTAGAAATATCTTTTTTCTTTCTTTCTTGAAAATATCTATTCTAATTATTGTATTTCAAAAAAAATAATTATTTTAATCTAGTGTACGTTGATTTAGATTTTTACGTGTGTATTAATATGCTGAATATGACCATGTGTTGGTGCCACATTGTTTAGCTCCGACAAAAATGTGGTTAGTGGATATTAGAAGATAAAACAAATAATAAAAAGCTAACATTGATATACTAAAATAAACATTCTCTAAGACCGAAAAACCCACTCAAATCATAAAAATTAAACACTAAACAATTTATATACTATAAATAGTTGCAATTACACTCTTAAATTTATCAAATTGTGGAATTTAATTAGTTGTTTCGGAATTCAATATGATTCTTACAAGCTTGGAAGAATAATTGGTTTTGAAAAAAACGAAATTAAGATAGTTTTTTGTCAAGTGGATGGCAAGATAAAGTAAATATTAAGAATTCAGTGGGCGATTGTTAATAGAATTGGAATTTAGCGAGAGAGAGAGAGAGGGGAGTGTTTGGCTAGAACGAGAGGGGATGAAAATAGAGTGGGAGAAGGAAAAACTAAAAATAGAACAAGAGGGTAAAAACGGAAAAGAGAGAGAGGGAGAATCGTAACCGAGATTAACTTAATCGGGTTAAGGACGAATTTCAGGAGTAGGAAAATAATCTCACCCAAACAAAGCTCATGAATCCAGCCACGCGCCCCAACCTCCCGTCCATCTCCCACACACACACCCTATCCCCTCTCTCTCCTCTCTCTCTCTCTAGAGTTTATAATATAAATGAGAGTTCCCAGCCATTGAAACCACCTCAGCCTCCTCAATTCTTCGTTCACTGCGACCACCCCCACCAAAACCCTCGTTTCCCTTCTTTTTTTTTTTTTCTTTTTTCTTCTTTTTTCTTTTTCGGGGGTTCGTTTCCGTGCGTTTCCGCCATGGGCGTCACCATTCTTCCAGATCTCGGGGCTGAGATTCTGATTCCGGTTTGTTCCGTCATCGGAATCGTCTTCTCCTTGCTGCAGTGGTACTACGTTTCGCAAGTCAAGCTCTCCCCTGCCCGGGATTCCGCCCATAACAACTCCGCCGCTGCCGCCGCTAAGAATGGCTACTCCGACTACCTTATTGAGGAAGAGGAGGGCGTTAATGACCACAACGTCGTCATCAAGTGTGCCGAAATTCAGAACGCTATCTCCGAGGGTAACCTAATCGCCTCCCTCCTCTTCTCTTCTCTTTCGCTTTCGGATTATCGGGTTTTCTACTCAATTATTGCTAGATCTGGTGCTGGATTCTCAGATTTGTGATTCTTAGATTTGTTTTTTTCTCTTTCATGGAGTAATTTTTTGTTTTGTTACATGGAAGCATCGACTTTGGGTTCTTCTATGGTAACTTCCTGATTTTGTTGTTTTTACCCTGGCATCGTGTGTAGTAGATATGTGGATGTTACATTTGGTCTTGTCGTTCCATGCATTTACAGGCCGAGCTTGTTATTTTTATGCTATTACGTTCGGGTTATTACATCAAATAGCATGAGAAAGTTGGTCTCTGGTCATACCGCATTTTCATAAAATACGTTACGCAATAATTAATTACCAAATACGTATTTGATGTGATTGGTTTATCGTGTCTGACTATTTGTCGTTTATTAGTTTAGCAAATTTTAGGGGGTAGAGAGGATTGTGATCTTTTGAGTTCTCCCCCTGCATCGTGTAGTCTGGCATCTTTCAAAGAAACCATGAATTCGTGAATTTATGAAGAGATCTTGAAAGTGATGATTGAATTAATTTCAGTTTATTAAATAACTGAGAATGACGCATTAACAGATTTCTTGGAACTTATTCCATTAAATCAGCCTCGTTTTTATCCATTTGGGTTTGTAGTATATATTTTGGTCATAGGATAGAGTTGCATCATCGCATCTAGAGCTAATCTAATCGGCATTTCTTCCGATTCCTCTTTCTTTGCATCAGATTCTACGTTAGAGTGTTGTTTGTTCTTTGTGATATTTATGTACTTGTTTTTTTTTTCATATATATCTGTGCCAGAACAATATGCATACAAATATTCGGTGTTGAAAATTTTTTTGGGACGTTTATAAGTTTCTAAGTTGGTGTCTTTTGGAAACATTTTTTGCCCTTTGACATTTATGAATTCCTTTTATCAAAGGCGTTGTCTTCCAAAAACTGAAACTCTTATGTGAATATATATATATATATATATATATATATATATATATATATATATATATATATATATTTTATTGCAGTGAAAAAAGGTAAAAAGTATTATTTTCTCCACTCTGTAAAATATGTAGGAAAATGAATGGTGTAAGATTTATCAGAATATTTGTTCTTTAACATCATATAGTTGTTGGCTCTGATCTTCAATAGTTGATTGGGCTGATTGTTGTCTTTTCACATCCATTTATTCATAAAATGAAGCCTTGTGTAATAATTGCTTTTCTGATGGAGCTGCTTCTAACTATTTTAACTCTTTGATGTATTAGGAGCAACCTCCTTCCTTTTCACGGAGTATAAGTATGTTGGCATATTTATGGTGGCTTTTGCGGTCTTGATTTTCCTATTCCTTGGCTCCGTGGAGAGTTTTAGTACCAAGCCTCAGCCTTGCTCATATGACAAATCAAAGACTTGTAAACCAGCTCTGGCGACAGCTATATTCAGCACTATATCATTTTTACTTGGTGCTTTCACATCAGTGGTTTCTGGTTTCCTTGGAATGAAAATTGCTACATATGCAAATGCGAGAACCACCTTGGAGGCAAGAAAAGGTGTTGGAAAGGCATTTATCACTGCTTTTAGGTCTGGTGCTGTCATGGGCTTCCTCCTAGCTGCCAATGGTCTCTTGGTTTTGTTCATCGCCATTAACCTCTTTAAATTGTACTATGGTGATGATTGGGGTGGTCTCTTTGAGTCTATCACTGGTTATGGTCTTGGTGGATCTTCTATGGCTCTCTTTGGCAGAGTTGGTGGAGGTATCTACACTAAGGCCGCTGATGTTGGTGCTGACCTTGTGGGCAAGGTGGAAAGGAACATTCCTGAGGATGACCCAAGAAACCCAGCTGTAATGATCCTATATTTTCTTAGTTTATTTTGTTCTGATACTTTTGTCCCTTAATCAAATCACTTAACTGTTTTGACAGGTGATTGCTGATAATGTCGGTGATAATGTTGGAGATATAGCCGGTATGGGATCTGATCTTTTTGGTTCATATGCTGAATCATCCTGTGCTGCCCTTGTCGTCGCTTCTATATCTTCTTTTGGCAACAACCACGAGTTGACCCCAATGCTCTATCCTCTCATCGTCAGTTCTGTGGGTATCCTTGTTTGCCTGCTCACGACCTTATTTGCTACTGATTTCTTTGAGATCAAGGCTGTTAAGGAAATTGAGCCAGCATTGAAGAAGCAGCTCATAATTTCCACTGTTCTAATGACCTTTGGGGTTGCAATTGTAACTTGGATTTCTGTTCCATCAACATTCACCATTTTCAATTTTGGAACTCAAAAAGATGTGACGAACTGGTTAGTGCTTCTTGAATAACTGTCATAATTTATTTTCATTATCAGTAGCGGTTTGATTCACCAGCTAGTATTTGGCATTCAGGAAACTGTTCTTATGTGTTGCTGTTGGTCTCTGGGCTGGGCTTATTATTGGATTTGTGACAGAGTATTATACGAGCAATGCATACAGGTAACTGATTTACTGGCACTTACCTAGTTAATTCTAAATGATTCAATCTATGAAATAAAAATTGAGATCTGATCACATCTTTGTATGGTTTTTCAGCCCTGTGCAAGATGTTGCTGATTCTTGCCGAACTGGAGCTGCTACAAATGTCATCTTTGGGTTGGCCTTGGGATATAAATCTGTCATTATCCCTATTTTTGCAATTGCAGTTAGCATTTTTGTGAGTTTCACCTTTGCTGCAATGTACGGTATTGCTGTAGCTGCCCTTGGAATGTTAAGTACAATTGCTACTGGTTTGGCCATTGATGCATACGGCCCAATCAGTGACAATGCTGGAGGTATTGCTGAGATGGCAGGCATGAGCCACAGAATTCGGGAGAGAACCGATGCCCTTGATGCTGCAGGAAACACCACCGCTGCCATTGGAAAGGTATATATTTTTTTCAATTCTTTTATGTCTCAATCCTACTGCCTGGACCATTTCCTTATTGGCTTTGGTCTTGGTCTCCGTAGAGTGTCCAGAAGACCCTGCTCCGCCTCCAAGCTTCCAAACAACTCTTTGCTCATCTCTCTGTCAAAAAATTGATTCTGTTTTTGCTTTTTCAGGGTTTCGCTATTGGTTCAGCTGCTCTTGTGTCGCTTGCTCTCTTTGGTGCCTTCGTCAGCCGTGCTGGTGTCAATGCCGTTGACGTCTTGACTCCCAAAGTTTTCATTGGCTTGATCGTGGGCGCTATGCTCCCTTATTGGTTTTCTGCCATGACAATGAAGAGTGTCGGGAGTGCAGCCCTAAAGATGGTTGAGGAGGTGCGAAGGCAATTCAACACCATCCCAGGTCTCATGGAGGGTACTGCCAAGCCCGACTATGCTACATGTGTCAAGATCTCAACTGATGCTTCTATCAAGGAGATGATCCCACCTGGTGCCCTTGTCATGTTGACGCCACTAATTGTCGGTATCCTATTCGGTGTCGAAACTCTTTCTGGCGTCCTTGCTGGCTCTCTTGTTTCTGGTGTGCAGGTAAGAGATGGGCTGATGCCTGGAACTACTAGTTAGAAGTTGAATTTTTTACAAGAACCTTATAATAATAATACCCCCCATCTAACTGAATATGTTCATGTTGGGTAAACCGTAGATTGCCATCTCTGCATCCAACACCGGAGGTGCGTGGGATAACGCCAAGAAGTACATCGAGGTATGTTGAAATCTAATAATCATCTTTACAATGTTGTAAAGATTTTTCGGTATCAGATGTAATAATAGCAAGTTGGTATTGATCATTGTGGACAGGCCGGTGCCTCTGAGCATGCAAGAACCCTCGGGCCGAAAGGATCGGATCCTCACAAAGCAGCTGTTATCGGGGACACCATCGGAGACCCGCTCAAGGATACATCCGGACCATCTCTCAACATTCTGATCAAGTTGATGGCTGTGGAGTCCCTCGTGTTCGCTCCTTTCTTCGCCAGCCACGGTGGGCTTCTTTTCAAGATCTAAAAAAAAGCAAGAGGAATCTTTGTGCCATTGCATTCTCTCCGTTCATTGACATAACCTCTCCTCTTCTCTGCGAAATTTTCGATGCTTTTTTAGACTTCATATTATATGCGTTTCGAGTCTGTAGCTTTTGATTACCTTTCGAGAAACTTGTAGTTTCAAGTGGCAGAGCGTTTTACCTTTTCATCAGTTGATGATGAGATGATGATGAGATGATGATGATGAAGAAGAAGAAGAAGAAGAAAAAAGACATTGGTCAATCTTGAGAAATGAGACTGCGATATTATTCTCTTTTTTCCCAATTGAGAACTGGCTATTATTGTTACCCTCTTTTCCCTGTTTCTGAATGCGACTTCCATTCTGAATAATCCCTCTTTGCTTGAAAATTTGGGAAATTTTTTATTTAAATTCGAAAGTATCAAAATTCAAACTTTTCACAGAAACTACTTGCATTGCATTCTGTTTTACAACACCATGAAACACACTACTTAGAAAAGTAGAGGATTCTAAATCTTCAATTTATCAACTGGTCTCTGTCCCTTCTGGTAGTCTTGGAAATATGAACCCACATAGTTCTTCACATTTCTATACAATCTCGGCCTCCTCTCGTCGATCAGCCCCTCGATTGGCTCGATCTCTCTATCCTTTTCTGGGCAGCAGAAGCATGCCACCGAAATCCTCTGCTTCTCCGAGTTCGTCACGGCCCGATGAACAGCACTCTTGAACACCCCATTGCTCATAATCTGCACACACATCACAGAACCAGTGATCAGGGGCAGACCCAAAAATTTTCATACGAAGTGAAAAGTAGTGCAGTCAGTACCTCGGCTTGTTCCCCAATATTGATTAGAAGAGAATCGGCCATGGCAGGAACAGGGACTCTGAACCACTGGTCGTCCTTCCGCCATTGGAGACCTTCGACTTCTCTGTCCAGTAAAACAATGGTGATGGCAGACCCATCTGAGTGTTCTTTGAGCCCAAGAACAAGATCCGGCCTCGAACATGGCGGATAGAAATTGAATCTCGTGAACAACTCTGGACGCTTCCCCACTTGCTCTGTAAAGCTATTCGCCTCCACGTTTATGGATCTTGCCATGGCCATCAGTACTGTTTCAATTATCTGCTTTAATTTGATTGTGAACTCGTGTAGATCTTCCCTGTAGGAACAAATGGGTAAGCTTTTAATTTAATGCTCAATTTTAAATGGTTCATTTGGATAAAGAGGAGAAGCAAGGAAACTGGCCTGAATGATTGAGGATTCTGCGGCCAATATTTGAGCTGTCTCTCATCTTCTGGATTTACTTTGAGATATAACCGATCGGTCCAATCAAGAATTTGTTGCTCTGAGAAAACCATATCAGTTCCATATCCTTCAAGCCCATAAAGTTCTCTGCAACATTTGTTCTTCTCTTCCATAGGCAGTGAAAAAAATTGGTTGCTTATTTGATGAATCTTGTTTAGAAACGAACTGGAAATGCTGTGATTAATGGCCTGCAAGTTCATGGAAGATTAGTCAACGATTTGGTTCGTACAAAATTCAGATTAAAAAATTTAGTAAAATCCTCGAATGGATCCATTGAGAACAGAGACCTGAAAACAGCCCCACGAAGTGAGAGCCAACCGGAGGTCCTCTAACGCCGCCGTGCTGGGCGGCGACGACGAGAGTTGTGCAAGGTCAACGACCGGAATCTCCGCCAAGGGAAGTGGGTTATTGTTGGAATCTCCGCCGCCATAGCCGTCTTTGTAAATGTAACTCTCCGGCGTGTCGCCGCCGTTGATGAGAAGTTTTTGTTGGAAGGTTTTTGTGTGGAAGTAATCTGGTAATTCGGCCATGTTTGAGGGCTTCCTAAGATGTACAGAGATTATTTAGAAACGCCATGGAAACTAAACTAGTAGATTCGAATGTGTGTTTTTGTTTTTTCTTTTTTAAAATGGTAAACAAATGTTTTGTTTGCAGGGGAAGGTGAAAAGATTTCAGACGACTGGTATTTCGTATTATTCTAAGTTGGAATTTTGTCTTATAAGGCTGTTTGTTTTGTGGTACAATCCATGTATATCCATGGCTGTCTTTATCTTCTACGTTTATTTTGTGCTAAGCTCAGGGGTTCATTTTCCAACTCAAGCTTAGGAATTATAAATTGACTAATAAAGAACCAAAGTCTTTTACCCCTTTGACTATAATGGTATGTTTCAAATGTTCAGTAAGCTCTGCTATTAATTTTTATGAGTACAATAAATGGGGATAAGATTCGAACTCAAAACTTTTTGACAAGAGATAGGTGTCAATTATCATTGAGCTAAACATATTACTCAAATAATTAAGTTATATATCATGATCAAAAGATCACCGATTCGAAACCCTATCTTTACGTGTTATATTAAAAAACATGTTAATTGGACGATAMGATAAATTTTGTAATTTTTAAAAGTTTTTACATTGCTACAATGAGTAAATCAAACAAAAAGTAAAATTACTGCACTAATCTAAATCTAGATTCAGTATCCAATTTCAAAAAGTTTGTAACCAATATTTTCTTAATGCCTAATCTCCTCTAATCTTATTTACTTGTAGTGTAATATTTGAAAAAAGAGAGAGAAGTTTTCATAAGATGCAAACAAGATAACCAATTGAGCTGTTCAATTAGTTAAAAAGCGTATATGTTCGACCAAAAAGTTCAACTAACGTATATTTTCGATCAAATAGTTCGAACCTTGGCCTGTTGTTGAACGGAAAAAAAAAAAGCAAACAAGACAAATTTAGATTTTTGCAGCCTCCCTTGGTCTCTGGCCCTGCTGGTAGTACTGGAAAAAAAGGCCGACAAAATTCTTCACAGTTCTGTACAACCTTGGGTGAGTTTCATTGATGAGCTTCTCAAGTGGTTCAATTTCTTTCTGTGGATCTGGAAGGTAAAACACAGCCAAAGAAATCCTCTCCCTCTCTGAGTTTGTCAACACCCTATGAACTCTACTCTTGAATATCCCATTACTTGTTATCTGCAAAATTTCATCACCAAATTCATTTCATTATCCAACTCAACTCACTGCTACAATGTGCATTGTTTTCTTTCAAGTTCAGATCAGATTACCTCTCCTTGATCCCCGACGTTGACGAGAAGCGCATCAGGGATGATCGGCGCGTTCCACCACTCATTGCCTTTCAAGAACTGAAGACCTTCTACTTCTTTGTCCTGCAACAAAATGGTGATTGCTGATCCATCAGCATGTGGCTTGACACCAAGAACGAGATTGGGATTTCGACATCGCAGGTAGAAGTTGAACCGTGCGTCGAGTTGAACTCGCTTCCCATACTGGTTGAGAAAGCTATTCTCATCTAAATCCAGTGACCTTGCCATGGCCTTGAGGATTTTCTCACTTAAAAGCTTCACATTTGCAGTGTACTCGTGAAGAACTTCCCTGAAATTTTCATCACAACATCATATTCATCATTCACTTGTTCGATCCGAAACATGTTTCAGAACCAACAGCTTCTGCAGACTCTTGTTTACTACCCATAAACCAAAACACATATAAAAATTGTTGAGGGAATTAAGAAGATTGGGAAAGTACCTGAATCTTTCAGGATTTGTTGGCCAGTACTTGAAACGGCGGCTTTCTTCTGGACATACAGTGAGGTATAAACGATCAGTCCAATCGAGAATTTGTTGGTTGGAGAAAATCATGTCGTTGCCATATCCTTCCATCTTATCTTCTTCTCGGGAATGTTTCAGTTTGTCTTCCATTGGAAGAGCGAAGAACAGTTTCGCTACTTGGCGCACTTCTTCCAGAAATTCAGGTGACATTCCATGATTTATTGCCTGAAAGAACACCAGAAAACTTCCGATCAAGTTTTCAAAACATTAAGCAATCAAAATCCGGGCGTATTTTCAGGCTATTTACGATCTCCGAACGTTTTATGGGATCGATATGCAGAGTCAATTGAAATTAGGGTTTAAAGAAATTCCTAACCCCCCGCACCCCCGATCTAGGGTTTAAGAGAGCAAATTCTACAGAAATCAAACCTGAAAGCAGCCCCAAGAGTGAAGTCCATGTCGGAGTTTCTCCAGTTCCGGTCCGGTATTGGATGGAGACGAGAGGAGACCGATATCAATCACAGGAGCTTCCATTAATGGAGCATCTAGAGCTCCCCGATCGCATTCTTTATGGATATATCTCTCCGGCACTTCCCCTTTAGAAGCCACGTCTTGGACGCTGCCGGTAGGGTTAGTTCCGGCCATGTCTGATGTTGGAGAAAAGACGGTGCCGAGCAGTTCTGATCGCAAACAGAGATCAAACACACAGCACGGAACTAAAATTGGACTGGTCTAATATTTGAATTTGAAAGAAGAATCTGACTCGCACAAGCCAGCAACAGCAACCTCAAGAAACAGACAGACGCTCGGTTTGAAATTTGAATACAATCACTAGACCTGAAGATTTGAATGGTTACACAACATTGAATTTAAGCTTTATAAAAGTATAAACAGAGAGATACATCACATATGGATCCAAAATTCAAGATCGCAAATATAATATAATATAGAGATAAGATATCACAAGAAAATGATAAGGTAGATTTGACTTTTCAACCAACAACTTCTCTGATTAACCAAAGAAAAATCCACTCCCCTGTATCCTAAATTTCTTATTTATTATCATCCAACGGAAGGGAATTTTGTCTAAGGAATTGTAATACCCCAGGAAGCGCAATCGTTCTTAATCAAACTCATTTCTGCGGAGGAAATGCCTTTGAGAAGAAATGAGGAGCAGTCGTTGAGCTTAGAAATGGCGTTGCAGCAAGAACGGTGAGGAGCACCACCATTCACAATCACATCTATCACACATTTCGTCGACTCGGAGAGGAACGATACGCAGCGGATGAAAGAGAACTTCTCTGTTAGGAACGCATCGGACTCCTCCCCAGCCCTCGGCGCCGCCGCAGCCGCCGCGTGAGCCGTCGCCAATGGTGCTAAAATTGCTATACAGGCAAGTAACAGAAGAGGTAACTTCGTCACCGATCCGATCAGTGACTTTGCCGCCATTGTTTGTAGAAAATTCAGTGTGAAGGTCCAGAGAATGATGGAGGGAAGCTCTGTTCTGGTTTCTGGGAGAAATTTGGAGATTAAGGAGATTAGATATAGGGATGGATATGGAGATGGAAACGTTTGGCGCCTTTATGGCCATAGAAAACTGCAATTCTTGAGATGTAAATTTGGATATTGGAGTTACAAAATTTAGGTTTCGAAGAAGTTAAGGGATCGTAGTGTTGTAGATCTCAAACAGAGGAACTTCGCCGTTGAATATTTGATCGCACCGCCGCCACCAGAATTGCCCTGCTTTCCTGTGCCGTTGTCGAAGTCGGAACCGAGAGAAACCGCCTCATAACCCGCCGGTGACGATCGGAAATGTTCTACCGGTCTCTCCAGTCCCCTTTTAGATAAATTGATAGTCTCCTTTCTTATTTCAAAATTTTAATTTATACCTTTGCAGTTTTTTTAATTTATAAATTAATGAAGAAGGAAAAAAAAGTCAATTTTCATTTTGCACCCATTTTCGGGTTTATAGTTTTATTTCAAAATTTTAGTTTAATAACGCTGGCGACTGATAATTCGCTAAAGTTTTAAATTATATATTTTTTGGAGATAATATTATTTATTAGTGATCTAGGAAAAAATGCTTATATTTATATTATTTGGGAGGGTGACAACAATTTTGGAAATTAAAAATATATCTACTAACCCGAGCATAGTTTAACAGTAATTAGCATCTATCCGATCAAGAGGTCATGTGCTCAAATCTTCACCTTATATATTGTACTTAAAAAAATTTATACTGTATTTACTTTTTTTGTTTGTTAGCATTTATTTGAAAAAAGATTTATACCGCATATATTTTAGTTTGTTACCTTCCATATTTCATTTCTTAAAATTAAATTAATTACTTGATTACCTTTTTGGGCAAAAGTTTAATTAATAACTAAATTTTTGTTTAAGCTTTTAAGTAATAATTACTTGATTATGAAATTAATAAATAATAATAAATAACTAAAACATATTTAATTATGAAAATGATAATCATATAATACAATAAAGTAGAGTTATTTATAACTATTAAAATATCAACATGAGCATGACTTAATTGATTAAGATATATTTCTGTAAAAACTTAATTGATTAAGATATATTTTTGTAAAAAGTGGTTTGATTCAAATCGAATTCAATTCAATGATAAAGTTAAATTAACATTGATAGCAAATAAAGTTTTCTTTATTAACTTATTTGGAAGACGAGCTCTGTTCCAACAAAATCCAGTCCCCCTTATAATGTAACAGTGTAGAATTAAAGAAAGAAAAATTTGATTATGATCATAATTTTTCCTTATTTATGATCAATACAATGAAGCAGGGGAATTTTGGCCTAAGGAATAGAAACGCCCCATAAAGCGCAAACGGTCTTAATCAAACCCATTTCCTCGGCGGGAACGTCTTTGAGAAAGGAGGAGGAGCAGTCGTTGAGCCTTGCAATGGCTTTGCAGCAAGAAGGGTGAGGAGCCACCGCCTGCTTCACCACATCCACCACACATTTCGTCACCTCCGAAACAAACGACGCACACCGGAACAATGAGAACTTCTCCGACAGGTATGGATCGGTGGGCGCTGCTGCCGCTGCCGCTGCTGCCGGTGCTACAATGGCTATGCAGACTAGGAGTAGAAGAGCCAACTTCATGGCTGATGACTGCACTGACTTTGCCGCCATTGTTTCTGTAGATTTGAGTGTGTGAAGGTCCAAGAGAAGGATTTGAATGAGAGAGGAGAAGATAAGAGAAGATGTATTTGGTTTCTGTGAGAAAGTTGTGTTGTGGAGGTTCTTATATAGGTAAAGGTAAGGAGTTGGGAAATGTTTGGTGTCTTTATGGCTAGAGGAATCTGCTATTCTTGTAAATGTTACTTTCTTTTTGAGTTACAAAATTTAAGTCTAGGAGGAGTTATCAATCAAAGAAAAACTGTTGCCTTTACTAAGTTGATCTTCTCCAAGGATGACCGAATCATGTCACAGAAAGACYGGTGAGAGAATGATAAAGTTGACATGGACACGGAAGAGATAGGATGGACTACTCCAAATTAAAGTTTTCTAAATAAAAAATTGTTGTTTGTCAACTTGAAAATAGCTTAACGGTCAAGACATATTTTTCCTTGAAGTAAGAGGTTCAAACTCCCACGATCGATTACTCCTTCAACGGAGTCTAGAAGCTCACTTTTTCTATTTTTCTAAGCAATAGGAAAGACGACTGGATCACGCCACTAAAAGACTGATGAACGAAAGATAAGTTGAAACGGATATAAAGGAGGTAGGATGGGCGACTCAAAATTAAAATTTGTTTGTCAACCTTAGAATAGCTTAACGATTAAGACATTTTCTTCTCTTGAGGTTGGAGGTTTGTTTTCTTCTCTTGAGGTTAGAGGTTCAAACCTCCGCATCCACATTTGTTGAAACGAAATGATAAAAGAAAAAATAGAGTTTGTAAATTTTTAATTCCAAACCACCGGAGCAACTCACGTATTCAAAGCAAGGACAAAGCAAGGGGAAAAAACTATATACACAGGCCAAACACAAAATATAAAATGGTTCTTTCAGATGGAAGTTAATAAAATTTTTAAATGAATATACATATACAACCACTAAGATTACAAAATAAATGTCTATYACACCATAAATTACAAACCAGGATGAGAAACAATGAAAGAATTTGTTTGCTAGGAGACTTGAACTGACAATCAATAAATGTGAGCTTAAACATGAACACTACTATAGGAGACAAGAGGGTGAAAAGGAGAAGGCAGGAACTAACTAAAATGGAAGTTTCTGCAATTTCATCTTGTCCCCAAATTTAAGATGGATAGAAGAACACTGTATTGGCTATTGAGAAAGAATGCATAATAACAACAGAAATCAACACTCCGTCTTTAATTCTTCTTAGGAAGCAAGGTAGAACTGTACCATGAATGAAGAAAAGAAACCTGTTCAACAAAACATGAGCTAGCCATTGTTACAGTGATGCAATTAATCTTTCGGATATCTTGTGAAGAAATATACTTCTTTATTTTTCATAAGTTGATAAGCTTAAACATTTGAGCAGTTATAATATATTTCTTTTCATGAGTGGAAGTTACCTATAATGCTTGTTTTCAGCTTCATCGCATGGAGAAGCAAAACTGACTCTGTTCCTCCTAGTCTGTCTAAAGAAAAGAACCTGAAACAAATGCTGTAGTCATGCTTCTTCCAAGATGTGGTAGATTTTTGAGACCCTCCTCCGAAATAACGGCTCTAATCGGAATGAGGGAACTCCGGTTAGCAACTTTCTAGCTTCATACATCTCGTTCCATGCCTGTACTATCTCGTCAATTTTGAAACCAAGACCTGTAATTTGAGGAAATAAGCAAAACATTTTCCACAGAATAGAGACACGTGAAAAATTGAGAAAAAAATAAGTAAAAAATAACTGTACCTTCATGTGCATTGTTGCTTGAACAGTGATTCTTTATCATAACAGCGATATCGGTTGCAGAAGCTCCAGCAAGCTCAAATTTTTCAACTGCAACTTCCAGACATTCATGCCACACTGGTAGCCCCAGCTTAAACTCCAATATTGATCGCTCATATAGCATGGTACCCCATAAGAGGTTTATATGAGACCTCATATTTTTAGCCTGTTCTGCAGCCTCATCAGCTGATATATCCTTAATCAGCCCATCCAACCCCATCTTCTGCAACTGGGTTTTAACGTTGCTCGATTTAGAGAGTTCACTAGCACGCTGCTCTTCCCATTCCTCCCATATCTTCATGCCCGTTTCCATGTTGTCCTCAGCATTGTTATAAAGTTGCAGAACCTCGGTACAAGGCCATGTTTTCAGATCAACATTGCTGCTAACTGCATACTGCCAAGAAAGTTTTGCCTGCTCAAACTGTTGCTGCCCTAGAGCTAGATAGCCTTCATAAAAGTCTGGTTTGATTTCAACCGCTATTTGATATTTCTGTCCCGCTTCAACATATTCCTTCTTAACCCAGTCATATGCAGCTTTTATCTGTTCAAACACAGGTGCTTTTGAAGCACTGTCTGTGAAGTAGACCTTCTTCCTCGCCCTTGACATGATAACATTTCCCCAGTAGAACATTGCTAAAGCTGCCATCTCGTGAAACTTCTCTGCTGCTATTTCAAAAAGACCTTGAGCTTCTTCACTTGTTACTGTCTCTTCCATAGCCTCAGAATAAAGCTTCATCCCAAGTTCTTGGAGATCCAAGTATGAGCCAGATTCAAATCCTACGTGGTTTATAAATAACTGAGCAAATTGTACTATCCAGTCGTCAATGCAAGATGACATCATTATCTCTTTTCCTCTCAATACATGACCATTCTCAAACATGCTATTTTGTTCAACTTTACACTTCTCAACCTCATCATTCTTAAACCTGCCGTAGAATGGATCTTGCTCTGGATTAACTTCAAATATATAAAATCTAACAGAACCCTGTGACTCAGTAGTTGCTTCAGCCAATCGCAATTCTTCATTGGTAGTTATTGTTACCAAATCACCTTCTTCATCCCTGTACTTGATAAGGACTGCCCTGCAGGTTGGGAAACGATCACGTATAACCTCCCTGAGTCGAAGTAGAGTGCAGTCAATGGGCAATTGAGCCCATCGGATATCTTCTCCAAACACCAATTTCACAGCTTTCATAGGTGTTTCCTCATGTGTCCTTCTGATTTTCTCCTCCACAACTAGTTTATCCTCAGCCTTCTTCTCCTCCACTGTTTCATCAGCCCTCTTCTCCCCTGCTATTATTTCATCAGCTTTCTTCTCCCTAACTGTTATCTCATCAGCCTCCTTATCTCTCACTATTATTTCATCAGTCTCCTTCTCCCTCACTTTTATTTCATCAGCCTTCTCCTCCTCCACTGTTTCATCAGTCTTCTTCTCACCAATGGTTTCCTTAGTCTTTTGGTTCTTCTTCTTCCTGTTCTTTTCTTTATGTATTTTTTGCGGCAACACTGGAGAAGGCAGTTCAACAAAATCAAGAGGCAGCTGGATCTCGGCATCGTCTTCATTTGATTTTTTCATCTCAAGTGCCTTTGTTACTCTATCTGATATTTCTAAGGCCATGATATTTTTTGGCTCCATGTTTAAAACTGTATTAACATCCCTTAGAGCCAAGTCCAGCCTATGCAAAGCCTCGTAACATCTTGCCCGCTTCAACAATGCTTTACTGTACTTCGGTGTAACTTCAAGAGCCAAATTACACTCGTGAATCGCTCGGGGATACTCACTAAGCCCCATCTGCATATAGCATGCCGCCATGTTACTCCGAAGATAGGATACATCTATATGATTTTTTGGAAGTAATTTGAGGGCCTTTTCATATTTAAACATTGCTCCTTCAAGATCTCTAGACTGAAACAGTTTATTGCCCTCTTCCTTTAAAGCCTGAGACATAATAATGAAAATAGAATTGTCTTTGTCATAACTTCTTAGACTACTATCTCCACCTTGGCGTTGTTTTGAAATCGCCTCACGGAACTTATCACCAATCTGCTTCTTCTTCTTCCCACTTTGCTTCCCCATCAAAAAGAAAACTATTTGAAGAACCAACAATCGAGGAAAAGATTTACTTTATACAACCACACTTCAAACCGAACACAAGCGAACAAATCCAAACCAACTATAATAAACTAGTCACAGAGGAAGAGAATCAAACCCCTCAAGAAAATTCAACACAGTACATATGAATTTGTAAGTAACAGTTGCCTAAAGTCTACCGAAACAAATTCCCCGTAGTCGAATATAGCAGGAGTACTCGAATATCAAACATAAAACAGACAAAAAACCACAAAACTCAGGATCAAATTGCCGATGAATCCCCAAATTTCTGGTGAACCGACGTAAGAAGGTTAGAACGGTTCTCAATTTCCCCTTGAAACTCAAATAGGGGCTTCCAATTATGAATTCAGCATTCTAAAGCTGGTTTCCAATAGTTTGCTCTCTCCGAATCGGAATTTTTATCATTCATTCAAGAATTAAAAATTCCAATTCAGAAAGAAAGAAGCCAACGGGTTGAGCTAACAAATATCTATCATGCAGAAGCAGACTTCAATTACAATCGAATTTTTCTTGAGAAATGCAGAACTAGGAATATAAACTTATCTGGGAAATTTGTCAACCTCTGAGAGAATCGGAAACTTATCCAGAGAAACCAGGGGAGAAACAGCGAGAAACAGCGAGAATTTTTTTTTTTTTTTTTTGACGGAGGCGGAATATTAGCAGGAAAATGGAAGAAAACCAACCGTAGAGGTAGAATCCGTTTGTACTTTTGTAATGAGTAAGATTTCCAAGAACTTGTCGTGGACGCCACAAAAATCTGTACAAAAGCTGATAATAATTTTTATTATGAATTTTTTCCTTTAATTTATTTTTTTTAATTCATGAATTAAATTACGGTTATACAGGTTGCCATTTTACCGGAAAGCCCAATTTATGTGGGCCCGTTAGTTGCCGTGAATTCCAAGTCTTTTGGGTTACGCCCGTTCTATTCTAAGTAAGAACCATAGGTGTTGGTTACTAATTATATAATAATATAATATAGCAACTTATAAAAAATAAAAAATAGAGGAATCCTTGAACTAAAAAACAAATAATAATAAAATAAAAATTGTGCCTAGGGAGGCTTGTTTGGTAATATTCCTATTTCTTATTCCTATTTCTTTTTGTTTAAAAAATAGAGTTGCATGACCCCAACCAATAAAATTGTTTTTCATAAATAATTTGTTAGAGGTTTAGATTTTTTAATATAATTGGAAAAAAATGGGAACATTATAAAACTGATCATAATATATATTGTTCCACGATAAATGACTTTGAATAACCAACGAGATGCATTGACTTTGAGATGCTTTACTCCTAATTTCACAAGGTTTTGAAATAAAGGTTAACATGAGTTTGGTTGAGAACGGCGATGATCTACATTCTATTGGCACAAGATTTTAAGGTCGGAGGTACAATCCCTCACGTTTGTTGTAAAAAAAAGTACAAGTTTCTTTTCTTTTTCCGTTTTGAGAGTTTAATTTTAAAATTGTGCCTGAAAAAAAGATTTAGTAGTATATTTTGTAATAAATAAGTAGGAGAGACGTGAAAATATAAAATAAAATAAAAACAAATAAAATACTTAGCCTGTAAAACTTGACCAAGGTTTTCTTTTTGGATTTAAAACTTCACCAAGCTTACTTTTCACATGTGCTAAAAGCTACGTGAAAAGTCATATGATATGCTTTTAAGGGGAAAAAAAAGGATCCAGAGTTATATAATTTTGTTATTTTAAAATATTTTATTGTAATTAGATAATAGAAAGTTTAACGAAATTTTGAGTTCCAAATAAAGAAAAATATTTGATAAACAATATGAACCGATAAAAATTTCAAAGAATTCGGGAAGTTTGATATGATGGTGTATTGAATGAAAAAATTTTATAAAAATGTCCAATTCTTCAAGAGAAATTTAGCAGTTTGAAAAATTTTAGAATTAAACCATGAAACAAAAATTGAAAGTCGGAAATTTGTTAGCGTCTCATTTTTCTTTCCCTTTTTTTTTATTGATTTGATGATATTCTCGTTTTTTTCTTCAAATTTAATATAGCAGCTTACAAAAATAACATAATTTAAATCAAAATCAAATAAAACACATAAAAAACTTAAATTAATTATGCCATGAAGAGTTTTGTCATTTCTTATAAATATGAATATAAATTCTTGTTATGGAGAGAGATTTCTTCTTCTTCTTCTTTTTTTTTTAATTTTATTTTGTAATATACATATATATATTGTTTCAGTAAATATTTTCAAATGTTAATAAAAAAAGTAAAAGAAAAGTTGAAAGATGCGGACAAAGAGGGGTGGGGAAGCAGGCTTTTGGGATGACCCACCGTCGTATGTCGGCCATTCAGTGGTGGCCACGTCGTCAGAAAATGGCATTGGCATGTGCGAAATCACAACGAACTATAATGGGCCTACTCTTGACGGCCACTTCCGGCCCAGTTGAAAACAGTTGGTGCGCACACGAACACGGACACGGCACGCCCCACCGCACCTGACACCACCATCCGCTGCCGCTCGTGAGACCGATGGCTTTACCCTTTTTAGGCGTCTTTCCCTCAACCGCCCATGCCGCTCGCTTGCCTTGCATCCTAAGTCACCTCCTCCTCTCGTCACATCTTCCGTGTCTATAAAACTAAACTATATTTTATCTTTTTATTTCAAATTACAAGTTTTTTCTTTCTAGTTTTTAAAGATGTTTAAACTACCCTCAAAATCTCAAGTTGCTTCAAAATGATGCTTACATTTTCAATTTTATCGAATTAATCCTTAAACTAAAATAAGTGGTGGAACTAATTTTAAAAATTGTTTAGAATGTAAAATGTGTTTGATTAGTGTTCGATGAAAATGGAATTGTATTCTATATTTTCAAATATGTGTTTGGTGGTAGATGTGTTTCAATTTTTAAAAATTAATAATCAAGATTCGTTGGTAATATATCGGTAGGTAACTACTAAATATTTAGTTTAATATAAAATATTATCAATTAATTTATTAACTTGCAAATTTGTTTAGAATTAACMTTTTACATTATTATATAATTTATAATATATTATATTCTACATGTTTTAATTCTAATAAAAAATGAAATAAATTTATAATATGAAATGATATATTTATCAGATTTTTTATCATTTTAAATATAATTCTACATTTTAAAATTTTGGATTCAAAATTTGAAAATAATGATAGGATAAAAAAAATACTTTTAAAATTTTCGCTATTTGAATTAGAGAATTCGAAAAATAATTTTTGAAAAAATCCTGTCAAATAGATATTCATTTAATGGATTTAGTAGTACTTTTTCTCAAATAGACCCTAAATAACAATATACGTAGGGCAAAAAGCCCAAAATTCACTTACCAAAAGAGAGGTGAGCCAGCGCATGGCCCATAAACGAAACCCAATCAAAATGAAGAAACATATTCATATTGGATCCATTAAGCACCCGGCCCAACCCATTTTTGTTAAAAGGTCAATATAATACTGTTTCCATGACGTGGCAAGAATACATTGGCCAGGCTTTCGTGGAAGTGCACGCTGTCAATACGACGCCGTAACGCCGGCTTACGAGTTACGAAGACGCCACTTTCTTCTTCCCTTCGTCATCGCCGTCGTCCTCCCGCTCCCAGCTGAAAACATAGCTCCCCTTCCACTTTGCTGCTCTCGTTTTCCCAATTCTACGTTCGTTTGAGGAGACAAAAATGGGGAAATTTCTGTTGCTGATTCTTTTAGCTGCTAATTTTTGCCACTTCTCATTGGCTGACCAGATCTTCCCAGCTCAACTAGGTGAAATTCTTCTCCTCATTCTCTATTTCTGAAACTTTTCCAGGACAAGTTGCGGAATGAATCTCTGCTTTCGCATGCAATCTCGAATGACGCGTTCGTGCTTTCATTTAATTAATTTCTGTTTGAAGTCAGTATTTAGAAATATATTTTCAGACTATCTTTCTTTGTTAAGATTGGAGTCTTTTGCTTCTGATTGATTGAAGTCACGCCTCTTAGATTCTGGAAGTGAATGTGGCTGGTGGGGGGTCCTTTCTAACTTATGTTAGAACAATTAAAGGCTCATTGCAATTTGTTTTGCAAAACAGTCGTGTTATGGAGTTGTGATTGCCTTGATGTTGGAGGGATTAATTTTCCATTGTTCAGAGAAAAAATTAAGATATAACACTTTTCTATTAACAGTTAACCAAACATGTTTTCAATAGTTTTTTTCCCTTTCAAAAGTAGAAGGCAGTTTCTAAACTTAACTCTCAAACTCATTTTGAGTAGTTCCTTGGATAACATATGTCTGGCATGTTTGAATTGGCGAATTCTGGAATCTAAATCGTAGGATTTTGTCCTACCAGGGACCGGTATTTCATAGGTTGTTTAACATTTGGTTTGCCACACATCATGAAAACTTGAGGCCTCAAATTGTAGTGCGGTGTGCCATCTTATACATTTCTCACTTGTTTCTGATTGATGGTTCGCAGGTGGTACATTTAGTCGCAACTCTCGTGGGCCAAAATACAATATTGAATTCCATCCAGAAGATTCTCCTTACCATCCGGTAAGCTTCATAATAGACTTAGTCGTTGATTCTTGATATTAATAAGATCTTATTTGCTTATATGATGTAATAAAATGGGGATGTTTTGGGTGTTAGCCATTTTTTCCCTCCCTCTCTCTTGTTAGGTTGGTGTGTAGTTTAACTTTGTTTCGATATTCTCAATCAACCCAGCATATAGTAGTATAGTACAGCTTTACAAAGTGAAAGATGAATTGTTGCGGCCATTTCTCCTCATTTTCATTAATCAATCTCTAGTTATCTTACTTTGTTGTCTCCTTTTTTGAATTTATCATCATATGTTTTCTCTGTTGGCCTAATTTCATTTTCCACTCTTTGAAATAGATTCATTAGTTGGGTTCTTCCTCTGAGGAAGGAGTTTGAAAATTGGTAGTTGATTACTCGACATGATTAAATAAATAAATAAGGAGAAATTTTCTGTGTTATGGTGATTCATGGCACCAAATTCTGAAGCAAAGTAAAATTATAGTTTCATCCTTTTGGTACTGAGAAATTTAAATATTTGGTATGCATGTGATTTCCTGAACTCCGGGAACCTCTTAGATGGATGCTACATGTCATTTTTTCATTAAGATGATATGGAAGAGGACATGGGAAGGTGGACTCTGTGTGCATTGTATTGCTTAGATGCTTGGATGATTACGTCATTGTATGTGCTCAATTGTGCTGCAAATGTAAGTGTGAACTAAATGCACCTTCTCCTTGCATAAAATTTTATTGGTTTAATGTTCTCTATCAAATTGAAGATTTGAGACATTGAGCCTGTGATCTGTACTCAGATGTCTAGGGAAAACTACATTTTCATTTGCATGCCCTACTGCCTTACAAGTTACGATACTCTTTTTCTTATTGTTGACTTCATACATAATCTTCGTTCCCTACACTGTATGATATGAATATCTGTCTTCAGAATTCAAGAATAGAAAGGCATGTAATCTGAACTTACCATGTTGTTGTGATTTTGCAGGACGACGACCAGGAATCTGTCTTTATGCCCAATAAAAATGGAAAGAATTACTTATGTTTCTTGCCTAAGGTGGAGAAGTCCAAGACTGGAAAGCCAGCTGTTCAGATGAACATGAGTAGTATGATTGTGGAATCTGAGAAGCAAGTCAAATTGAAAACTCCAGATGAGCTGCTTGAAGCATTAAAAGAGCAATGCTTTGTCAGGGTTAGGATCTATCGTTAAATATTGCTTTGCAGGCATCTGATGAATATATTTTCTACATTTTAAAATCATATATTGTGAGCAGCGTTTTTGAATGCGCGTGCCTTCAGAAATCAGGCATCCCAGCCATAAGTTAAAGAAATCAGGACCTTTTCTTCCTTAATTTTTAATTTTTAAAAAATATAATTATAATCTAAAATTTATTTATATATTATAACTTATAAGTAGCTGATACATTTAAATGCAACTGAAGTGTGTGCTTTGAGGTTGCCTTGCCTCCCATGAGATGGGGTGCCTTTATTGAGCTATTTAAAAGTAGGGTTGTTCGTGGTAAGATATATGCAATATTAGATAGAACAGATGATGATGATTACGTAAAGAATAATTGACATGTTGGTCTTGAATTATTAACTTCCTTTTGCAGCAAGAGGGATGGTGGACATATGAATTCTGTTACCAGAAGATGCTACGACAATTTCATTTGGAGGATGATGAGGTAGTCTTTTCTAGTGCCTTCTAATGCATTCTATATGTGATTTTATAATATCTGTGCTTAAAATGGGGAACTGTTTTTTTAACCCCAAATTATGAGTCTTAGTACTAAGACGGAGAGTGTTAAAAATAATAGAAGGAAAAAAAAAATCAAGTTGCATCATCTCTGTAATAGGTGAATGCCCCTTTTCCCTTGGAAGTTGTCAGAATTATTCATAATAAGATATTGGCTCGAATTGAAAAGGAGGGCAACTGTCAGGGTTTTTGCTTAATTAAAGACGTTCAATGATGCATGCCATCTATAAGGATCCAATAGTAAACAGTTAAGTAATAAAGACTTTGAAGTTTCTGTCGTTTTGGTCTGCAGATAGTCCAGCAGTTTGTATTAGGTGTCTATGATGCAGATGCAACTGCTAATCTCAACCAGAATCTCTCTGATATATCGACTTTGAAGGATCCTCGCTCAAAAGATGCATCCCAAAGGTGTGATTTTATTTTCATTACTAACCAGTTAAGAAGTTATGAACATACTTTAATTAATAAGCTAAGACGGCCTCCAAACACTAAAGCTTGTAATTTTCTAGTTCTACCACTTCTCAAAAGTTGTAAGTTGGAGGCATACATTGAAGCAGAAACTTTTATGAGTTTTCATCCGCATTCTACTATGGGGTTGCCTTTGAGTTTCTTTCACAGTCAATTATTATATGTGCCAAATATGAAATTCACACTTGAAATAGGAAATAAGAACTCGTATGAATTGAGTGTTTGGATGCTATAGTCTTTGTAATATAGCAGGAAAGCCTGAGTTTAAGTATATTAACCTTCCCATTACTTAAAATTAAGAATATGTGAAGTCTTTAATGGTATATAGAAGAAATTCCGTAGTAAGAAAGGGAATAAATAAAGAATTATTTGTCATATTAGCTTTACTGTTGAGCCAAATTAACAACAGTGCAAGAGTAAGATTGGTGCTTCCTTGAGGTAGTCCGAGAAGTCCTACACCATATAAGATCCTTGTATAGTTCGCAAGACTTTTTTCAGCTAATCTTATTTTCTCAAACTAACTATCGATCTACATGACTCACTCAGGTATCATGCCCATCATTACACAAATGGAACCATGTGCGATCTCACAAATCAGCCACGAGAAACTGAGGTACAAAGTGATTAATAATTTACTGTATCATTTTTTTTTCTTTTCCTTTTTCCCCGTTATTGATATTGATTCTTAATCTCATTGCAGGTAAGATTTGTTTGCTCGGAGCCCAGAGCCATGATTAATTCTCTCACAGAACTATCAACATGCAAGTATGCACTTACCGTGAGATGCCCGACGCTCTGCAAGCATCCGTAAATCGCTCCCTCTCTCTCTATTATCTTTCACCTACAACAAACACATACATTTTTCTCAATTCTTGGCAAAAATATAACCAGTAGGAAATCAAGTGTACCGTCATAAGATTGTGAATGGGGAATCAAGAAAAGGAGAACCCTGCTCGGAGAAATCGTTTAGAATATCTACAAAGCTGCCAGTTATTACATTTCATTGACAGCGTTACCTAAGACACAACCAACTTTAAATGACACCATGTTTCAGCGAGACCAATTGAGTAAAAAATCGTGCACGAGCAAACCAATAGGAGACAGCAAACTAGCAATGAACTTAAAAAGAGTTCAATACCAAGATGTCAATCTGATTGATAGATATTGTTTCCATTTCTCATATCCAATACTTTTTGTTTTGAACGGACAGATTATTCCAGGAAGAGAGACCAGTGTGGTACACCATTAACTGCAACGTGGTCCCTGATGATTACAAGGAAACAGAGCAGAGTGAAGAAGTAGAAGATCAGATTGTCATGGTTACAGACATCAAATATCCAAAAAATGATTCTGAAGAGTAATGTGAATATTTATATCATAGAAGTTTTATCAACCAATCTAACCTTACGAAAGCAGGTATTCCTCTGTAGATTTGGATTCTTTCTTCAAATTCAAATTATACAGTTGCTCGTGGGGATTGATCGATCGATCGATTTTCAAGCCCCACAACGTAAAACACCCGCGTGGAATTTTTCAAATGCTTTGGTCAGATTTGAACATAGGTCAACCTGAAAGCTACTGACAGGTATGGCAGTCGTTTTATGGAATTTATTGTATTCGCCAATGGTCCAACTTAATTGTAGGGGGAAAGCATTTAGTTTTTATTGGTAAACTCATCTGTAGCTTGCTTTTGCCACAATAATAACGATTGAAAGACTATTATTTGAGTCAATGACAAAACATCATAGTTATCTCAGAGATATCCATTTTCCACCCCTATTTCTCTCCCATGTACCCCCTTTAAAAGTTCCCAAAAAAAAAAGAGAAGCTATTTTTGGACACACTTCTCAAACAAACCTTAAATTATATTTTGTATGCTACAATTTTACTAGTGTACCCACTTAGATGTCTGCCACATGTGTGCTATCCACAATCTCCACAACAGCTTTTGCCAAAGCATGTGCCATCAAATTGCCTTCTCTGCTTGTAAACAAAATTTAAGGGCTCATTTGGTAATGTTCTCGTTTTTTTACATGTCCCAACATCCAAGAATTCAAGTATGATAAAATAATTTGTTTATTTATATTTTGGAACAAATTAGAAATGAAAGCAAGTAAGAAGAAACTTATTTTGGATGTTTCCAAAATTTCTATACAATTTTGGAAATGTCCCAGAAACGRGGAAACAAGAAACAGAAATGTTGCCAAATGAGCCTAATAATTTTATTTTGTTTTTTCTTTCATGCTTCAATGGCACATCATAGATTGAGGCTATGATCCAACCACCACCTCTCTAATTGCAATTATTTTCTCAGTCTATCACATATAATGGGATTTCTATAATTCAAGTAGCTATTAGTTGTTTGTTAGGTTGCTGCTCCATCAATCACTACCTCTTTTTTTTGTTGCTTCCATATGTATTATGTTTTAGATGCCAAAAACAGGCCCTTTGCTTTGCTTCCATATGGTTTGCTCTCAATGTGTTCCTTTATCCCGTCTCGTATTGACCGRTTAACATCAAAGTTATCRTTGTAAATATGGGTACAATAGAGCAACTTTCATTAGACGAACTGACCCGATCGAAAAACTTCTAATCAGATAATAGTTCCAAACCTTTATCTTCCATAGGTTTCGAYAATTCTATCTATATTTCCACTCATTTTTGTGACAAGATTTTAGACTTTTCCACTATACTAAAATTCAAAGATAGATTTAACAACCCAAGAGTTCGGTGCAAGAGACAACTTGTTTCACTTTCATTAAACAGGAACCCAAAAAAAGGGCAAAGAGAACTCAAAGTTTGACTTTGATGAAAAAAAAAAGGTTTATTGTAATTAATTCCTATTATTCTAAATATTCTTTTACCCCTATATGGTAGTAGGTTTTATACCTTTATTACAACGCTCTATGTAAGGTTGGTTGTTAAGTTGTTTTGTCTTAATTTATTTCCTAGGTGTATAATTAAGAATTTAATTGAATTACTTTTCAAAAAGATTTAATTGAATTGAATTAAATTATTTAAAAGTAGCCATTTTAGAGCCTCAAATACTACCCAAGATTTGCAGCATCGCGGCCCTTAATATCAGCAATGTGGGAGTAGGTTACTTAATTTAATAAGTAGTATTAATTAAATCTCTAACATTTAATTTTTCCTAACAACCCAAAAATTATTTTCCGTGATTGGCTCTTCAATTAATGGGAAATACACAAATAAAGAAAAGGAGAGAAAAATGCAAAACTTTGTTATAGTAAGTAAAACAACTTACTCTAGATATCTAATATTTATTAGTCATTAATAATGCATGGTTAAGAAAATAATTTAGATTGTTCGTGTTTGTTGGCTAGATGTGATCGTTTGTGCAAATTAGAACTTAGTAATCAAGATATCTTTTTTAAGAGATCGTAGATTCAAACAAGCATACATAACTCTTGTTTTTATGATGTGTTATTATTGTTAAACCAATCATGAGCATGCATTGCTCTAACTCATGGGCTSCATGTSTCGACTTGAATATAACAACACAACATATTTAACCCGCTCGACTCAAATTCATGGCATGATTATGATCAACTCATTATAGATAAACTCCCCCAACTTTGGATTGGTGAACTTTTGTTTGCTATACACACATCATGTCATTCAGAAAACTCATTTTARCTAATGACTCTATCTTTACAAGTTATAACTCCTCATTTAACACTTGGTTCTCGCTAGTCGGGTCTAGAAAATTAACATGTGCGAGATCCAATAAGTAAATTATCAAATATTAGCTAAGAACATTGCAATTTTGATATTGTATCAAGCTACCACTAAATTATACAAAAGATTGAATTTATGGGTAAAGATAAGATTTCATTGTTAAGGATCCCACCTTGAAAAGAAAAGGAACCTTACAATAGTTTATAATAAATACGGGCTACTCCTCTCATTGTCAACTGGTTTTGAAATGGAACATCGTGAATATTAATATTCATCGCTTTAATACATTATTTGAAAGGGGACGATCCATCGAATATTCATTTTTTTTTTGTCTTACTTGTATCTTCTTTTTGAAAAAGTGAACACAAATAAAGGCATTCAATTGTAGTTGAAAACTTTGATTGGAGCAATAAATAAGTAGAGGGATGAGATTGAAAGAAAAAGTTAGGTTTGAATTGGTATTTATGGAGTGTTAAAAGGGGTGAGGTCTTTATTGTGTTGTGTGGGTGTGTGTAAACTCTAAAGTTGAACAAATGGAAATGGGAATACCCAATAATAACATCTCTGACTTCATCAAACAAAATATATACACTAAACCAAAACTATACATTAAAAGACTCTCCACCCATTCCTTTCTTGTGAGTATCCTCCCACATGCAACCCCTACCCTACCAAAAACCAACCACTTACCTCATTGGACCACACCTACTCAAACCCATGTTCTCAACACACATAACTAATTAAAATAGACAAATAAATTTTAGTTCGGTTAGGATTTAAAAAATATGTATCAAATGGTCGATTTTAGTACAAGGTCTAAATTGAAAATAAAACACTAAATTGGACTTTGTGAAAGCTAAGAGTACAGAGACAAAAATTGAGTTGAAAAAATGATAAAACTTTTATCTGACTATAAATACCTTAAGCATTATTAACAAAGGGCGAAAAAAAAAAAGAGAAACTAATAATGTATAAACAAGAGAAAAAAAAGGTCATCAATTTGGCTCTCTCGTGGTTGTTCAACAGTTTTCTTGTTCATGCCATCTCTCTCTAAATCAACAAACAAAAAAATGTTTCAAATAATTCATTAGCATTGGTGATTTAGTAATTGTTCCAACAAAAAATTATTTATTGGAGGGCATAATGGTCATTTCAGTCCTCAATAAAATTCCAAAATTAACAGAAATAATTGATCCAATACCGAAAGCAACAGCTTCTCTCTCTCTTCTTCTTCTTCTTCTTCTTCTTCTTCTTCCTTCTCTCTCTATAAATTTCAGTCTCAGAAACGTTCTTTTAAGGCCATAACCCATTTCAAAAGCTTCATCCTCCTCCTCCCATGGACTGGTTCTCTTGGCTCTCCCGAACCGGACTCGACCCGCTCCACACCTACGAATACGGCCTCCTTTTCGCCCGAAATGGGATCCGACCCGAAGACATTCCCCGCTTCAACCACGATTTTCTCCACAAAATCGGCGTCTCCGTCGCCAAACACAGGCTCGAGATTCTGAAGCTCGCCAAACTCGAAAATGAAGAACCGGCCGCCAAGAAATTTCCGGCCGCCGCCCCGCTCGTCTCCGCATTCGCCAAAACCAAAAAATGCCTCCGAAACTGCATCAGAAAATTGGTTCCGAGTAACGGCAAGCCGGAGAGGGCGGTTTTCCGGGAAGGCACGGCGGGCATTTCGCCGGAGACGATGAGTTACAGCGAAAATCTCGGCCGGAAGCAGGAGGTTGAGGAGGTCTGGAAACGGAAACCGGCGAGTCGACGGAGGAAAAACGTGTCGCTTTCGGGGCCGTTGGATGGGAGAGGTCACGAGAAAGCGATGACGAATTGTAAGAGCCTGAAGTTATCTGGGCCGCTGGATAGAAAAGAGCGGCCCATGTTTTCGAGAAGCCCAAGAACATCTGGGCCTCTGGATGGGAGAGTATCGGATTGGGTTGCGGCGTCGAATAAGAGCCCGAAGTTTAATGGGCCGCCGCAGGGGAAAATGATGAGGCTGATACCGTCGAGCCGGAGCCCAAGAGTATCTGGGCCGCTGGATGGACGAGATGGAAGCCCAAGAATTTGCTGTCGCTGCAATAGGGAGAGAATAGAAACGGACGATGATTATCATTCATTATGGGTTTCCTTGTTTTATGACTTGAAACCTACGTAATTTTTATTTTTTATTTTGTCAGTTTTTTTGGTTTTATTACGATGTTTGTATTTGAATTAAAATACCAATGCAACTAAAAGAATGTTGTCTACTGAAATTTTGTAAGAAGTTAAATGAAGATATGTTGGGCCCCAAGGCCTTCTACGTGTATCATAGAGTGGCCTCGAAATTGGATTCTCAATCACAAGCCCACTTAAAGGGTGGACAATCAAAGTCCAAATACACGGCCCAAACACAATTTATAAGAACTATTTTCATATCTTTTAAAATTATAGAATTTGAAACCAAACCGATCATAAAAGATGTCTCTTTTATCTCTTTGCTACATTTCTTTCTTTCTAAAATATATCTCCTCTCTAATAGGGTTCCCTCTCTTCACAAAGCCTTATCTCTTAACTATGAAAATTTTAGGTTTCAAAATTATGGCAAAGGGAGAAATATAAAATCATTACTTCTCTCTCTCTGAATCCCAAAAAAAAATAATATGAGTTGGATACTGTTGTAAAGACAAATTCATCCGAAACATCTCTTATCCAATATATATCGAAAGTAACCCCACATTAAAATTGAGCCAATCCCTCGAAGCCATTGCATTGGAGTGCCACACACATGCAATATAATTTGGTAGGCTAGAAAAAAGGATAAGAGTTTTGAAAGCAAATGATCAAAGTCGGTGAATTTGGTGGTCCTTACTCCTCTTCCTCACCAAATTGAACTCAAAATGACCACTACAAAATATTAAATAACGTGATCATGTCTATTTTTGTCTGCCTCTCTTATAAGTGCAAAAATAAGATTGAAATGGAAATGTGGTCTCGAGACCATACCGACTATCTATCTTTAAAAAGTTAAAATAAAATAGGCCAACCCGTCTTCTCAAACTTAGCTACGACGCTCTCAGCTTGAAGTTTAAGCCTCCGTAATTTTGTGTTAGATAGACTAAAGAATGGCAAAATTTTAAAGTAGAAATTCGTTAATTAGACATGTACATCACTAAGCTTACGGTTAACTAAAATCAAATAAAAAAATTAATATTTATCCAATTTGTTTATCATCCTGCCTGTAAAGTGTAAAGTTAAGCATTTATCAAATTATGTGTGCTGTAAATGAGTCTCTAATTCCATGATTAAAGCAGAAATAAAATGTTTAAATAACCAAAATGGTGAGAATTTACCCACAAATGACATTCACGTCCTCCGACTTTGCTTTATTCCAATTCCATCCTTATCAAATATCACATTTAAGATTTTCATAATTATACGAAAGCACCGTCATTATATTAAATGAATACCATAGGCAGCCGCATCATTTGATATCCTTCCCTTTTTCTTTATTTATTATTATTTTTTTAATACAACTTTATGTTTGGGAGCTATGCTCGGTTTGGCACTTTTTTCTTTATTTCTTTCTCTCTCGAATCATTTGATATTGTTCTAATAAAAATCAGGATGAGTAGATTAATTTCTGAAGTGTTTGGGTAACCTAATGTCTTAACCAAAGTTGAAAATAGGTGATTTAATAAGCATTTGAATGATGAATGATTACGAGAGAAGAAGACGGCCACATGCCACTCATTTTCAGTGCCTTATAACCTTATCTCTTCATTTTTCAACAATTTTCGAGTCCCAACTCTATCTTCTTCTTTAATATTTATCTAATTTGTCAGCCCATCTCCTCCAAGTTGAGTATAAATTTTTGCCACGGAACAACAATTATATATATATATATATATATTTTTTTTTTTTTAATTTCATTTTCTCCACAGCATTAATTAACTCAACTCCCAAACAATTTCAAGATTATGAATCGCTCCTCATCAAAAAAATTTAGTCATCTAGTTTGGACTTCATTTTTTATTCGATTTGAAAATTTTCAATGTCCAAATTCAACTTTCTCAAGCCCTAAACACTTAAAAAGGGTACTAAGACCAGATTAAACGAGTAGTTTAGCCAAAACTTTAATCTACAATCTCAACCTTTTTTCTGTTCAGTTTTTAATCATTATATCCAAGTTTCAGAAAAAGAAAACGTTATCCCCTAATACGCAGACAGCCCTTCCCCTCTCAAAGGGACACTCTCAATCGAAAGGCCGTCTTATGTTTAATTTTCTAAATATCCACTTTTGTGAGCTTTCGATAAGAGAATCGGATTGATATTCAAATTTCATAAGCAAATGCCAGTCCTTTCCTTCCACCGATTTGGGACTTTGACAGTTCAACCATCCATTCCACTGTCTGACCAAATAACCAACCAACCACCATCAATCTCCCATTTTTCCAATTTTCTTCTGTCCATTTCTTTCATTCTTAACTTTATATTTTATTAACTCAGGTTTCAGAATTCTATCCCAATTAACTCCAATTAAAATTGTTCAGTTTTTGTCAAATCTCCATCAACGTTCAACTGTCCTTGTTCATAATGAACTTCATCCAAATTTGAAGCATCTCCTCCTAAATTCCCAATCACAAAATTCACAGTTCAGTGTCTTCCATTTCAACCTGCAAATGAATCTGTACAT